CTGTCTGCCAGTGAGTGCGGCCCCTGAGGGGACAGCTTTGGGACCGCGCAGCCCCCGATGTCCCACAGTCCCCAATGTCCCACAGCCCCCGATGTCCCACAGCCCCCGATGTCCCACAGTCCCCAATGTCCCACAGCCCCCGATGTCCCACAGTGCCCAATGTCCCACATCCCTCCAGGTCCCCCTGGGTGTCCCCACAGCCCCCAGGTGCCCCACAGCTTCAGGGTGTCCCATAGCCCCCGGGTGTGCCAAAGCCCCTAATGTCCCACAGCCCCCCAAGTCCCCCCGGGTGTCCCACAGCCCCTGGATGCCCCACAGCCCCCGAGGTCTCACAGTCCCTGGGTGTCCCACAGCCCCTGGGTGTTCCACAGTCCCCAATGTCCCACAGCCCCAGGATGCCCCACAGCCCCTGGGTGTCCCACAGTCCCTGATGTCCCACAGCCCCAGGGTGCCCCACAGCCCCTGATGTCCCACAGCCCCCCGAGTCCTCCCGGGTGTCCCATAGCCCCAGGGTGTCCCACAGCCCCAGGATGTCTCACAGCCACCAATATCCCACAGCCCCCGGGTCCCCGTGGGTGTCCCACAACCCCCAGGGTGTGCCACAGTCCCCAATGACCCACAGTCTCTGGGTGCCCCACAGTCCCCAATGTCCCACAGTCCCCAATGTCCCACAGCCCCAGGTGCCCCACAGTCCCCAGTGGTCCACAGCCTCAGGGTGTCCCACAGTCCCCAATATCCCACAGCCCCAGGGTGTCGCACAGTCCCCAATATCCCACAGCCCCTGGGTGCCCCACAGTCCCCAATGTCCCACAGTCCCCAATGTCCCACAGCCACCAATGTCCCACAGTCCCTCGGATCCCCTAGGGTGTCACACAGCCCCAGGGTGCCCCACAGCCCCAAGGTGCCCCACAGCCCCAGGGTGTCCCACAGCCCCAAGGTCCCCCTGGATTTCCTACAGCCCCCTGTACATCCTGCAACCCCCAAGGCTCCTCCAGTGTCCTTACAGCCCCCAGTCTCCCACAGCCCCTCCGGTGCCCCTGTGGTCCCCCAGGTGTCCCACAGCCCCATGGACCACCAGATGTCCCCCACAGCCACCTGCTGACAGTCACCTCCATGTCACTGTCCCCTGCCCAGCATTCCCCCCATGCTGCTGTCCACCCCCATAACCCCCTGTGCCCGGTCAGTGGCCTGGGGGTCACTGACAGGCAGCTCGGCCCCCTTTGTCCCCCCAGCACTGAAGGCCCTGGAGAGCTCGAGCCGGCGGGCGCTGCAGGGGCTCGTGTTCCTGGTGGGCAACGGGCTGGGGCTGGCACTGGCCCTCTACAAGTGCCAGGCCATGGGGCTGCTTCCCACCCGGCCCTCCGACTGGCTGGCTTTTGTCACCCCGCCACAGGTGAGCTGGGGGTCCTGGGGACACCCCTTAGGGTCGGGACACTGTCCTGTGACCCAACACTGGGGTGCCCCCACTCACCCCCTTCCTCTGTCCCCTCTCTTGACAGCGAATGGAGTTCACTGGAGGGGGGCTGATCTTGTGACYCCCTGCGCCCTCCCACCAATAAAGGCGATGGCAGGATGGTGACATCATTTTTGGGGAGAATTCTAAGGGTTTGGGGACTCAGCCCGAGGCAGCACTGGGGTGGGGTGAACTGAAAAGTGTTTATTGGGCTGTACTGGGAGCACGGGGCACATACTGGGACGGTGGTGGGTGTGCCCACACTGCTGGTTTCTGCCACATTTCACTGTTTTACTCYGGTATTTCCTCATTTTCACTGCTTTTCCCACCACTTCTTGCCCATTCATGCCTTGTTTTTTCCCTCTTCTCATGCTCTTTAATTTTTTTTCCCATTTTGCAGTAATTTCCACCACTGTTGGCCCCAGTAAACCCCAAACCTCTGCTTTCTGGTATGAACCCAGTATGGCCCAGTGCCCTCTCCAGGACTTTTGAGTATGATCCAAGACTCCAGCATGATCTTAGCATGGCCCAGAACCCAATCTCAGTGTAACCCACCAGCTCTTCCATGCCACCCCAGTTTCCCCAGTGGCACCACAGCCACACTGGTGATCCGGGATGGGGTGGGGCTTCCTTCTGATCCTGTCTAATTAGGAAACAGATGGTGCCACACCTCACTCAGGTGAGCTGGCTGTAGCGTGTTCTGGGCTGTCACCAGGTGTAGTAACCCCAGCACACCCTTTTGGGATGGCCACACCTCCTGTGTGAGGGTCCCTGGCCAGTGGAGCCCCACCCCTTTCCCAAAGGTGTCCCCATGCACTCATCCAGGGTGGAAAATCCCTCCCAGCCCACGGTGTCCCAGCTGTGCCCACCTTGTTCCCATCCCAGAGCTCTCAGTGCCACCTCCAGCCCTTCCCTGGACACCTCCAGGGCTGGGCACTCCAAAGCTCCCTGGGCAGCCCCTGCCAAGGCCTGAGCACCCTTTCCATGGGCAAATTCCTGCTGATGTCCCCCCTGAGCCTGCCCTGGCCCAGCCTGAGGCCGTTCCCTCTGCTCCTGTCCCTGTTCCCTGGAGCAGAGCCCAAATCCCCTCCGGCTGTCCCCTCCTGGCACCAAAAATCTGTAAAAATAGGTGTCACTAACAGCAACACAGCACGAAGAAGCTGCCATTGATCACTCAGTGCTGGGTGCACGAGGGAACATCTGTTCTGAGATACCGTGTGTGCTGAGCACAGAAAGGTTCCTCTTCTTGGGCTGTGTTTTACATGTCGACTCAGGTTTTCCCAGAACAAACACTGATATGGTAACATTTCCCTGAGGTCATTAACACACATTCCCTCCCATCAGCAGTGTTCTCTGTCCTGGCAGTGTCTTTGGTGGTCCCTGGTGGGCAGTGACCCCACAGTTGTGACTGACTGCCTGGTGAGCTGSTGCTGCTGTGCCTGGTGATGAGAAAGGCTGGCATAGGTGGCCTAACTTGTTAATTTGTGAGGCTTTGAATCAATGGAGTGTAGCTTCTATTCCTTCCCTGGTTAATGTTTATYGTGCTTTTGATTGTGCCCTTCCATAGCCTAATGATTTTRCTAAATKGTCACTGTMTTGACCACCCAGGTGCAAACACTTCATCTACAGCTGTCAGGAGTTGTGCAGAGCCACAAGGTCCCCTCCGATCCCTTTTTGTCCACGCTGAGCCCCTTTCCCAGCTCCCTCAGCTCCTCCTGGGGCTCCAGACCCTTCCCAGCTCCGTTCCCTGCCCTGGACTCACTCCAGCCCCTTCCCCAGTTCTGTTTCCTGCCCTGGACATGCTCCATCAGCTTTCCCAGCTCCATTCTCTGCCCTGGACGCGCTCCAGTCCCTTTTCCAGCTCCCTCAGCCCCTCCTGGGACTCCAGACCCTTTTTCAGCTCCCTCAGCCGTTCCGGGGGCTCCAGACCCTTCCCCAGCTCCATTCCCTGCCCTGGGCACACTCCATCCCCTTTCCCAGCTCCATTCTCTGCCCTGGACTCGCTCAAGCCCCTTCCCCACTCCGTTCCCTGCCCTGGACTCATTGCAGCCCCTTCCCAGCTCTCTTCCCTGCCCATGGGACATGCTCCAGACCCTTCCAAGCTCCGTTCCCTGCCCTGGACACGCTCCAGTCCCTTTTCCAGCTCCCTCAGCCCCTCCTGGGACTCCAGACCCTTTTTCAGCTCCCTCAGCCGTTCCTGGGGCTCCAGACCCTTCCCAGCTCCGTTCCCTGCCCTGGACATGTTCCAGACCCTTTTTCAGCTCCCTCAGCCATTCTTGGGGCTACAGACCCTTCCCAGCTCCATTCCCTGCCCTGGACTCGCTCCATGTACCTCCTGGGCACAGCACTCGAGATGGGACCCTGGCAGTGCCCAGTGCAGAGGGACAGTGAGGGACAGTGACCGCCCTGCTCCTGTGGCCACATGGCTCCTGACACAGGCCAGGGGCCATCAGCCTTCTTGGGCACACCTGGAATCATGTCCATGAGCCACGGCTCTGGCCCTTCCCGGCAGGTCCTTCCCTTTCTCTTTCCAGCTGTGGAAAAGGAGCCCGTGAGCAGAGCCAGTGCCCAGGAAGGCAGGGACACCCAAGAAGAGATGGCTGGGTATTTCTGGAGAACCATACAGAGCTTCCATGTTGGCAGGTGCAGAGGAGTTTGGGATGGCTGGCTCATTGGTGAGGATGCCAAGGCACAGAGGAGCTGAGTGCCCGGGGGGTCTCATGTGGGTACAGTCTCATGCTGGATCTAGCCTGGAGCACCTTTGTGCTGGTTTAAATCCTATCCCCAAGATCACTGAAACACAGCACATCCACCACAGCCAGAGCCTTGGAGCCCTGACTCTGCTGTCACATCTGTCCCCAACACTGTCCTCAGCACCACAGCCTGGACAGAGCATGGACATCCCTGGGCCAGAGCAGGAGGAAAACTCCACTTTTGAGAGCTGAGGGGAAAAAGGATCTGCCTTCCCGCAGTCACCTGAGCTTGGAAATGCCCCAGGTTTAATTTCCTAGGGGAATCCACAGAGCCACGTGTGCATGGATTATTTGGATTATCCCCCTGGATGCAGCAGGCACCTGAAGCTCCAGGCAGGAAGTCTCCATGTGACTGGGTTACACTCCCAAATTTAACAACACCCCATTTCCAAACCTGAGCTGCAATTCCAAGGCTCCGTGTCCCACCTGGAAAACACATTCCCACCTGCACCCCACACTCCTCTCCTCTGCATTCCCTCCATCTGAGGTGAGCTCCAGGCAACAGCCAGGAAAAGAACCCCAGCCAAACTCCACCTTACCTAACGATCATTAAAAATGAAATCACAGCCAGGGCGCAGTGACACAACTGCTCTCCCG